ATTAAACTTTTTAATAAAAATACAAGCAAATTTGACTGTGTTACAATTTAAGAGATATTGATATTAGAATATAATAATGCCTATTTTACTAATTATTATTTTGTTTGTTTGTCATGATTCTGTTTAAATAAGCTGTTTATTAAAGTATAATATAATAAATAAAAAATATGTACTTTCTTAATAAAAATATATTATAATAAACTATTACAGATATTGATATAAGTTTATATAATAATATTAGGAATTTTTTATCTAAAAATTCCTGATATTAAGTACAAAAAAAAATTATAGATCATGTGACTAAAGTTCAATCAAACTAAAATTCAATTATATATTATTAAAAATTTTTTTTTAAATAAAAAAATTCATAATATTAATTTATTAAAAATTATCATATTGATGTAATTAAAGTTTGATTATATATTATCAGGAATTCTTTTATCTAATAAAATTTTTAATATTAGTGTATTAAAAATTTATCATATATTACTATAACTAAAGTTCAATCATAATTAAATATATTATGATAAATATTAATGTAACTAAAGTTTATATATTATTAGAAATTTTTTTAGATAAAATAATTCTCGATATTAGTGCATTATATATTACAGATATTTGATATAACTAAAATTTGAATGTAAATAATATCAAAATTTTTTTATTGCACAAAAAAAAAATATCATAACAGGTATTGATATAGCTAAAGTTTAATTATACAATATCAGAAATTTTATATTTAAGAAAATGTCTAATATTATATATTACTGATATTGATATAATATTTTCTATTTCATTAATTCTTTGTTTCATCTATACAGTCTGTAAAAAAAATACATCAACCTATTTTATTAGCAATATGTAATTTTTTAAAGTATTATAAATATAAATAGAATAAGTTTCTTCATTTTGTTTTATTCACAACTCTTTTAAGTTTTGTTTTAATTCACAATTCTTTTTTGCTTAATCCGAAAATTTTTTTTCTATTATTATTTTTTTATATTAAAAACATGGCTATAGTTGTTTTGCAAAGAAGACAATATAATGAAAAAAAAGATATGTTGGAAGTAGGAGCAAAAGAAAAAGGTTATCATCTCTATCTTTTTCAGATGTAATATATATATTGAGAGTTTATGTTTTATATAATTTTATATATTAAGCTAGGCTATTATTTATTTATAAATATATATATATATAGAGTAAAAATCTCTAGTTTTAGCAATTTATATTAGTAGCAGTGATAATAAAAGTAGTAATAGTAATAATAGAAGTATTGATATTAGCAGTAAAAATGATACAATAGCAGTATTCTAGATACATTTTTATGTTTGGATATAAGCAATGGATCCTGCTAAAATACAAGGCAGGATTCATAATTTATATTAAACTAGTATTGTTATAGATAATACAAAAATAATATTATATATTATTAACAAGGTTTCTATATTTGTACAATACAGTACGGTTTAATGTAAATTATAAAGTAAAAGGGGTATTATGATGCAGGTAACTTTAATGGTTGATAACACGTGATTCAGTAATCAAAATTAAACGATTTTGATACTATTTGATTCATCATAGCAAGATGAATCGAATGATATCAAAATTGTTCAATTCTGATTACTGGATCATGAGTTATTGCAAATCAAATTAAAAGTTAAACAATTAACAAAGTTGAGTACATGGACCAATTATGACACACACGTGATATCTCATGTTGTAGTAATCAGAATTGAACAATTTTGGTATTATTCAATTCGTCTCGATGAGTCAAGTTGAATGGTATCTGAATCACTCAATTCTGATTACTAGATAACAAGTTACAAGCAATTAAAAATTAAATTTTAAAAGATTAAAAAAAATAAATTTGACATACTGCCAACAAAATTTTTATTAAGTAAATTACCTTTATTATTAAGATAATTTTATTTAACACAGTAAGTTTTACTTATCTCTTAAGTTTTATAAAAATTGAATAATTTTTTATTAATTGACATTTATAAAATACATTTTTATACCAAAAGAATCTATTATGACACATATACATTTTTTACAAATGACAATTAATACAAATTTATTCAATTTTTATGAAAATTTAGAGATAAGTAAAATTTATAATGACAAACAAAATTGTCTTAAAAATAATAGTCAATTTACTTAATAAAAAAAGCCGCAATTTGTATATTATAATTAGTTTTTATTAAAACTTATAATTAAAAATTTTAGATATTTTATTTAAATATCAATATCTTGTGTTTCAGTAATCAGAATCAAATAATTTTACTACCATTCAATTTATCTCAATGAGACAATCGAATGGTAGTAAAAGCATCTGATTGTAATCACTGGGTCATGAGATATCATGTATGCGTCATAATTAGTACTGCATTATAATACCCTCCTTTACCTTATATGTATTAGTATTGGCAGGTTTATTTTTGTTTTTGATAGATTTGTTTTATATATATAATATCTAATATATATAAATATTTATTATAAATGACTGATATTCTCTAGCAATTGAAGGTCTGAATGAAGAAGATAGACCAAACTCTGCCAGACAATAGCATAAGTTTAGTGATAATTTTATTACAAACTCTCTTTTAGTTATTATGCATAATTTGTTTCTAACTTCTGTATTAGTTAAGGAGATAAAATTGAATCTATTTACTTGCCCAATATTATATTACTTATCATGCTAGTAATGAACAAGTGCTATATATAATCTGGCAGTACTATAAATATCAACACGAGATGTATTTAAAAAAAAGGTAGCTGAAGAGGCGTTAATGCCAAAAAAAAAAAAGAAAAAAGAATACTTAGGCAATACAGATATATTATTAATATATATATATAAATATTGGCACTATACATCTCACTCTTATTATTATTTTAATATTATTAATATTATTAATATTTTAATTTATTTATTTTATTCTTTTATTTTATTTTCTTATTAATTTAATTTTATTTATTAATTTGTTATTTATTTTAATTATATTTATTTATTTTGCTATTTATTTTTATTTTATTTTATTTTAATTTTTTATTTATTTTAATTTGTTTTAGAAAATTCAAAGACAAAAAACGGCTTCAAACATTTACTAAAAATAAAAAGCTATTTATTATATAGAAATTAACTAAATAATATATCCAAAGATCAAGAAATTGCCAATATTCATTAGGCATTGTTATTTCAAGATTATCATAGCAAAGAAATATCTAAAACTGATGCTAAAAAGGCTGATAGAAAGCAGAAGGACAGAAACCATGATAATAACCACAATAACTAGGTGGTCAAAGTATTAGATAAAGGCTAGTAATCTCAGAAAGTAAAATCTAAGCCTATATAAATATCAGTATAATAATTGTTTTTGAACCTGAACAAATTTTTTGGTCTGAATTTAATATTAAACACTGCTAAAAGAAATGAGGCTTCAGGCTTTAAACTTTAAAAAACCTGATAGTGACATAAAAGCTAAATCTAATAAACAATTAAATTAAAAGCTATCTTTTTTTTTTTTTTTTTTAGCAATGCTAATATATATTTTTTATTTTTTTATTTCTTTCATATATATATATGTATGATTTTTTTTTTTTATCTCTAGTTAAAAAATATTCTATAGTTAGCCAAAAGTATTTTAGTTATAAAAAGAAAAGTACAAGATACTAGTGGGTGAATACTTCCAGGCTAATTGACAACAATGCAGTTCTACTTACAAATGCACTATTTTGATTTATATCAAGATTATATGCTGCCCCCAATAGTTGTATTACTGATAACGTTAAACTCTCTTATAGTGATAATGATAATGATAACAATAACAAAAATCTCTAATCTAATAATGATAATAATAATAATAATGAAAACTCCTGTTTGATAATGATAATAATAATGAAAACCTCTCATCTGATAATGATAATGATAACTCTACCCCCAATAATAATAATGATAACCCCCTTCCAAAAACAATGATGATAACCCCCTCTTAATAACAATAGTGATATCCTGATAGTAACTATATACTTGTTATAGCTAGATCTAGTAATACTTACTATATATATATATTATACATTCAAAATTGAAAAGCAAGATGAAAGAGGTTGTTAATAAAAAAGACAAGGCAAAGAAGGTTGTTGGTAAAAAAGGCAAAGCAAAAGAGATTGTTAATGAAAAAGTCAAGACAAAGAAGGTTATTAATAAAAAAGATAAGGTAAAAGAGGTTATTAATAAAAAAAGCAAAACAAATAATGTTGTTGATGAAAAAGGTAATGGGAAGGAGGTTGTTGTTAAAAAAGAAAAGGCAAAAGAGGTTGTTGATAAAAGAAATAGAAAGATAAAAATTAGTATATATCAGTTAATTTTTATATTAGTATATTAAATTACAGTTAATATTTATAAATTATTATTAATTATATATATTTTCTGGTATTAGATTTTCTAGTAGTAAAAAATACAATGCTCTATAGAAATTTTTCTCTGATATCAGGAGAAACTATAATTAGTTAAGCAGAATCCAACTACCAAGATCCTGATGAGAATTGATATCTGAATTCTAACAAAAATAAAATTGTAAAGACTTTTGCGAGATTTACAAATTTTTTAAAAAGTATATTAGAATCAGAGGAGATAAAGAAAAGTGAAAACTAAAAAAAAAAAAAAAAGCAAATTGATTATATAATACTATATGTCTTTATATGTACCAATATTCTTTTATTATACTATTAATATATAAGTTAAATATCAGAAGAATAAAAAAAAAGAAAAACTATATAATATTATATGTTTTTACATATACTGTTATTTTCCTATTATGCTATTAACATGTAAGTTAAATATCAAAAGAATAAAAAAAGAAAACTATATAATACTATATACCTTTATATATATTGATATCTTTCTATTATGCTATTAACATGTAAGTTTTATATCTGGATAATAAAAAAAAGAAAAACTATATAATACTATATGCTTTTATATATACTGATATCTTTCTATTATACTATTAATATGTAAGTTAAATATTGGAAAAATAAAAAAAAAAACTATATGCTATTATATGCCTTTATATATACTAATATCTTTCTATAATGCTATTAACATGTAAGTTTAATATTAGGAGAATAAAAAAAAGAAAAACTATATACTATTATATGCTTTTATATATACCTAATATCCTTCTATTATGCTATTAACATGTAAGTTGAATATCAGAATAATAAAAGAAAGAAAAACTATATATCACTATATGCACTTTTATGTGCTTATATTTTGCTTTTATGCTAGCTCCTGTTAGTTTACCATTATTATCTCTTTTATAATATTCTGATATTCATATCAAAATAATATTAGTAAACAAAAGATATATTATTTTCAGTATTGGCAAATAGAACAATAGAATAAAAGTCAGATTTTTTGTCTTTATATAAAAAAAAAATTTTTTTTATTAATAATTTGCAATTATTTAAATATATATTGTTAAACTATTAGTAAAATTATAAATTTAAAATGCTTTTATATTTAATTAATAAAATTTAATACTGAATATTTACAATGGAAAAATGAAAAAAGTGAATAGAATTAGAGACCAATAGAATAAACATAGTAATGTGACAACCCTGATTATTTTATATCCGATATCTAACTTTTATATTGCTCTAATACTAATATCTGTTATTTTACCAATATTATTCTTTCTATATTACCCTGATATACATTTCAGGATAATAATAGGATTATATAAATATATCTCAATAGTTATATATTCGACTTATATTTGTTATTTTAATTCACTGATTTTAACTTTACTTAATAACAAACTATCTTTATACTCATGAGTTAATTAATGATCAATACAAATTACCAATATAAAAAATAGTAAATAAATAAGTATTATTTTTTTATTTATAAACTTGATGATTTAATTTCACCAATAATTTTTATATTTATATATAGAATAAAATAGTTAATATAAATGAAATGATTTGAAAATATTATGAAATGTTAAATAAGTATTTATATTCTTAGTTGATTTGCTAATTTTAGTTCTTATTTTTACAGACAAATTAATTCAAATAAAATAATTTCAATAGTAAATAGGTTTTATATCTTGATTTGTTATTTTGATTTTCTAGTTTTTTTTTGTTAATTTTAATATTACTTAGTAATAGCTTATTTTTATATTTATAAGCGAAATGATAATGATTAATATGAATAAATAATATAAAGAATAGTAAATAAGTATTTATGTTTTTATTTGTAAACTTGATTTAATTTCACTAACTAATAATATTTTGGTTAATACAAATATAAGATAGTAAAAAGATATTTATTTTCTTGATTGATTTCTAATTTTAGTTCTGTAATTGATAGTTATCCTTATGTTACAGATTAAATAACATGCTTAATATAAATAAAATGATTTTGAAGAGTATTATACAATAGTAAATAAGTATATATTTGCTTTTTTTTAAAAAAATCATAATTTCCAGGATTTTTGTATAGTTAAGATTGAGTTGATTTAAATTAGAATTATCATATTTTCTACTAAGTTGTAATAAGTTCATATTTGGGATTATTATAATTTTTATTGTGATTTGCTATAAGCTTATATTAAATTTTATTATATATTGAATTAGTTTTAATTAGAACAAGTATATAATACTATATTCATTGGTATATGTGAAAATAAATATAATAAATAAAAAATTTTAAATATAAATTTATTATTTTTTTAATTTTTAAATTTTATTTTTATTTTTTTCAATCTTATATATATTTAATAATATTATTATAATATGATTTTAAACTAGTTAGTGAATTTAGATTTGGTAGGCTAATTTTAAACTATAAATAGATAGCAAAATTTTATATTAATAAATTAATTTGCATATCCAATCCACATCAACTATATCTATAGCTTACTTGAATTTGTCATGCAAGCTTTTATTGAAAATCTTTTATAAAGCACTTTATACTTTAAACACTAAGTAGCAAAGATATAAAAGTCAATATAAACTATAAATAAACAAGTAGTGAGTTTAGTTTTTAAAAAGCAATAGAGTTAAATTCTAATTATTAAACAATGCTAACTTATTTAAATCTTGATTATAATTTTCTTAGAACTGAAAAAGAAAAGCATTAGTGAATACACTTTGTAAAAATACTATAATAATTTCTTTGAACTTTGTATAGATTAGATCTTAATTAATAGGCAGATTTGGTTTGTTTTTAATTGATTGGCAAGCTTGTAAGACAAGTTTTTTTTTAGCTTATTAAATAGTAACAAAAACTACTAATTTGTTTATTAGTTTGCCAATCACTCTAATTACAGATAGGTTGAATAAGTTTAAGTCAATTACAAGCTACCTTTGTTATAATATAGTAAGTAAATTAAAAAATTTTATATATTATATAAGTATAGTATAAATAGTATATAAATATATTATTTATTATAATGAAAGATTTACTTTAATTAGTAATCCATGAGTCAACCAAAGAGTAATCATAGTGAAATATGACATGGGTTACTTATAGAAATTAAAACTTTGCAAATATGGTATACACAAATTTAAAACTTTTTTATACTAAATTAAGTACTCTTCTAACTTAAGAGATTTTTGTAGAGCTTGTTGAGATATATCTAATAGTAGTTAAATCATCTAAATTGGTCTAGCAGATGCTGAAATATATTTAAAAAACCTTTTTTTAACTATATAAATTTCTTTAAAACAATACTATTGTTTTCAAAAAAATTTACATGGTTAAAAAAAGGGTTTTTAAAGATATCTCAGCATCCACTAGGCCAATTTAGATAATTTAACTACTATTAGATATATCTTAGCAAGCTCTACAAAAGTCCTTAAGTTAGAAGAGTAGTTAACTTAGTATAAAAAAAAGTTTTAAATTTATGTATATTATATTTACAAAGCCCCAATTTTTATAAATGAACTGTATCACATTTTACTATGATCACTCTTTGGTAGACTCATGAATCACCAATTAATAGAGTTTGCTATAACAAGAATAGAGTATATTATTTATTCACATATATATGTTGTGCGTCAAATGCATCCTTGCGTCGGATTAGATCCGACGCACGTCAGATGCTGATTTCCATGTG